TGCACGGGGGCCTAAGGCGCGTGACGTCGTGCCTTGATTGCCGCCTTCGCCTATAAATGGAACGCCGGCCACGGCCGGAGCTTTCCTGGAGGGATCGGGGAGAAATTGCCAACCTCGAAGGGAAGCGGCCAATTTCCTTTGTGCCACAAAGCCCCAAGATCCAAGCAGGTGGGGCACGGTCGAAAAGTCAGGTACGTTTCCTTTCCTCCCGGGGGCACCCGAGATTGAGCGCCTCTGACCACGTGCAGAATTCCTTCCCTCCATGAGAAATTCCAAAGCACTGAGGCTGAAGCCTCCTTGTTTGTGGGCGGAATGGGGGTACAAAGGTAACGCTGCTAATTATGTGACCTCTGTCGGTTGGCGAGGTAGACGCTCTCTGGCAATGGAAGCTTTACTAAAGAATTGCAGCTAGTAGCAGTGGAACCTCCATGCTTCTAAAACAGTGGCCAAGTGACAAATGTCAGGTTGAGTTTGTAACCAATGCCTGTTTTCTATATTACAGATGGAAAAATCCTTTTTGCGCGATGCCAGAGGGAGTTGTATGTGTCAGTACTGAATATATCATATTAGCCATGGTTAGTTCAGGGCTTGCTGTATTTTTTTTTTCTTTCCTGCTAGCGATCCATCCTCCCATTCTGCGAACAGGCCAAGACTAAATTCCTCGCTGGGCCTGCAGTTCTTTTTGGCAGCTGGCGAGAACTCTGCTCTCAGACAGAAGAATGAAACAAATAAACAGCAAGCCTCGAGGCTTGGCAACTGTCGGCCGTGAACTTACAAAAAGACCACCCAATATGAGACCGACCACAGACGGCTGCCTCTGTGAAAATTCTAGCTTTGGCTTAAAAATAAACGAGCTTCTATCCTTTTTGATTGCAAGGATACCTTCTCCTGGGTACGCAAGGATGCTGGGTTGTATTCTCTGGGCTGAGGGGATCGATCGGATTCAGCGGTTCTAGAGGGTACCGGGATGGGGCGAGCGGTTGAAATTCCCATTCAGGCATGAAAGCTGCCATTGAGCCTGCCTCCCTGGGCTGTTGTACGGTGAAAACAGCCGCCCAGCATCTGGAAGAAAGGCCAGAGGAAAAACCTCAGCGCTTCAAATTAAGACCAGCGATAGAACTAGCATGGGGGTGCAGTTAAAACTATATTTAAATTCTTCTGCATAATGAAGCGCCCAGATTAATCCACTAGTGGAAATAAATATATGTAATTTCTTGGCAAGTTTAAATCTGATTTTTACAAGCTCAGCAATAACTTACATCTAATACAGTTGTCCCCAGATGTTGGGCTGTGGTGACAAAAAATGGCCCAAAGTAACAACCAACTGTGTGTGTCACTTCAGAGAAAAAGGTTCCCGCAGCTTTGGCTGAAGGGGTGATGAACCTATTGCTGTTGAGGCCTTCCCTGTGCTAGATTAATTTAATCCCATCTAGACCCAAATTGCCATTTACAGCACAGAATTCGGTAATGATGTGGCCTCAGTGTTTGATTCCCCAGCCACCCCACTGCCCCCAAATTGTGAGGCCCCAAATCAGCAGAGGTTGGAGTAGAAGTCTTTGAACCCTGTTCTATGGCCAAGGTTCACTAAATTACTGTGCTCCAAAGAGTGCCTATTTAGAGCCTGGGAAAACAGACTGGTGAGCCATCCAGGTAAATTTTGGGAGAAGTTGTCAGGCAAATTCCCTATATATTTTCAAACATCCTTGCAGTCATAAGGGCTAGAAACCTGGCTTGTTTATAAATGTGCTGTCCTGTGTTACTTTATTTTTCCTGGATTGGTGAAGGAAAGGACAGAATCATGAGTTGGATCCAGGTTTCTATTTAAGAGCAGATCTCTGAAATCCATGGGGCTTGGATGGCCTACTGACCTTCTTAAAAGGCAGCCTCCATTCTTCCTTTTTTTTTTTTTTTTTATAGAGCTTCCCTGACCAGATTCCTGCCAAAGAGACTCATGACAAAATTACTAGCTTTTTCAATTGCAAGGTCGTTTCCAGCTGCAAATTTACAAATGAGAACAGCTGCCCTCTCTATGGGAAATGCCTTGTTTTAAAAAGACAGGTCAAACCATTGCAAAGGGATTTGCGAAACAGGCTGGGGTTGGAATGGATACCTTGCCCCCAAAGCTTTGGAGATGCCGCTCTTTGGCCAGGCTGAATCCCGGGGCCTTTGCTGGAGTTATGCCAGAATAATCCATGGGAAATGTTTTGAATCTGCAAAGCACATATAAATGTCAAAGCTAGGATCCTCCTTGATGTGTTTTAACTCCCGGATGAGCTCTGGAGAAGACATGCAAAATTATTAATTTTGGCTGTTGGGTGCTCTCAATCAACTCTCTTTATTGATTTATTTCCATGTTTATCCAAGGAGGGGTTCCCTTCTGGACAATTTATCACCCAATGATCCTGAGAGGTAAGCTAGAAATTGGCCCGGACTCGGACTGAGCGAGCTTTGTGGTTGATCTGCTCCATCTGAGTCAAAAGCTTAACCCAACCACAGACGGTTAGTCTATTTCACCTGTTGCCCTAAGCCATGGTTTATTTACTTGTGGTTTATTGGAAACATGACCTGGAAACCCCTGGGTCTCTGTCCAGATGCTAGCTTACCCAGGGTGGCTTAGAGAGGCAAAAGGGAGACGGAATCCCAGCGTGGTCCCCCTTCCTTTGGGGCGGTTACCCTCAACCAGTTTAGGCTTGCGGGGCGGGGAGAAAACTCCCGGCTGCCATCTAGGGGCCGCGGGAATGTCTGCAGCCCGGATCGCCTCGCTCTGGCTGCGGGAGGCTCATAGCGGAGAAGCCACGGCGAGGACCAGGCGCGGATGGGGGTGGAAAGGCGTTCCCCGCTTCCTCCCCCCCGCCTCTGGGAGGGCTGAGCTGCGCGGCGGCGGCGGCGGCGGCGGCTTGCACGGTGCGCAAGGCGGCTGGGCGTCGCTGCAGCGCGTCGACGGCGCCCCGGCGGCCCCGGAGTTGGCCGACGCTCCCTGGGCTGCTGACAGCTCGGCTCCGCAGCCTGGCTCTCCCCCCCTCCTTTCTTCCAGGCGGCCAGCCGTGCGCCAAGGCGAGAGCGTGCGCGTTGCGCAGGGCGTCCCCGGACCGGCTCGCTGCAGCTTCTGGGCGCGCGGTTGGAGATGCGCCTCC